TTCAAAACACACCTGACATTTAACAGAGGAAGCCGAGTTCGAGAAATACACACAGTTGTTACTTCAGCTGTGAATCCATCAGTTTATTAAAAACACCTTGCTCCTCCAGGCAGGGGTTCTCATTTGACTAAAGGATAAGTATTAAGCACACCGACAGTGTTGGGAGTTTACAGATTGTTTGACTAAATGTCAGAGCAGGAAGTGTTTATATGTGATTTTGAAGTGATTGTTGGTTTCACACACACACACACACACACACACACACACACACACACACACACATACACTGCTGGCTGAGGGTTTACTGAGAATGATGTGAAACAAAGCACATCTAGTCAGCGACAGTCTTGACAGAGAAAATGCAATGGCGAGAACTAGAGACACAAAAGCATTCAGTAGCATCAGCATAACAGGGGTGTATAGAAGGTTGCATCATGGGAAAACCACCTATGATTATTCAGCATTTATAATTTCCTATGAAATATATAATATGAGAGAATATATTCACACAGCAGTTAAATGTGTCTTTATGTTACTTAGTGTTGCTTGAAACTGTATCTAGGATGAAAATGATGGCACATAATGTGTAACACAACAGCTACAGCATACACTGGTTGGACTAGCTGTATCCCTCACTGTCTGTAGGTGACTGGCATCATTCTTTTATGAGTGAGGCAACATCAGACTAAAAAAAATGTTCTTATTTATTCTTTACAATATATGAATGTGTAAGTGTGAGGGGACAGGATTTTCAAAGCTTTTGGACCATCCGGCAAACGCTTCTGAGTGTACTGGCCCCTTAAGACTTCAGGGTTCAGGGTCAAGTTTAGCGTCTCAGCGGGTGGAAACACAGCAGGAAGCACATCCAATCCAATAAAATCTACTCTAAGGAAAATTTAATTTGCACAACACTCCCCTCCCTGTGCTGGTGATGACTGATGATTCAGGTTTTCTTTTGACTGTGCCCAGTTAACAGAGTAGGAGGAGGATGAATCCCCTCTAATCTAACATGCACACTTCAAAGGTAGACCTAGAAAGAGGACGCCTCAGTCGGAGAGGAATGACTTCATAGGAAAACCGTTCAGGGATTGAGTCTCACACAACAACACTATCCCTGACGGTGGAAGATGGAAGTGATGATGATAGGGGAGTGAAGAGGACGGGCGGTGATGGAGGACAGGCCCTCAAAGTTTAGCCTGTTTAGAGGGAACAGCAGTCTTTGAAGTGGGCCCACGAGCAGACTTGGCCTATCTAAGCCTTCTGGAGACGCCCACACACTCCCCTGATAACATGCCAGCGAGATGGAAACGGAGAGAGGTAGACGGAGAAGAAAAAGAAACTGAGAAGTATTCAGAGCGAGAGAGAAAAAAAAGAGAGAACCGGGAGGAGTGGGCTGCAATGCGCATGGATGAGGAGGCAGTTAAGAAGAGAAATGATGATGATGATGAAACAGAATAGTGGATGGCATGAATGAGGAGATGAGGGAAAGGGTGGTGAATGGGAGAAACAATGACAGACATGACAGCGCGGGGGCGGAGGAGGCGAGAGGGAGAATGAATCAAACATGAGATTGGAGTCAATTAAAAGGAAGACTGTCGGGCTGGAAACGGATTTAGAGAAGACGACAGGCTGCAGAGAGACAGGAAAGGAGGCGAGAGATGGAGGGGTAAGGGATTGCGAAAAGAGGGTGTCGGAGAGTCAGACATCCGCCCATGACTTCCTGAGTGCCACTGCCAGACCAGTAGTAATTAAGCAAGCTGATATACGCGTACTCCAAACACATGTACTGGATACAACAAGCATAAGGAGGGCAGTGAAGCCATGTCAGAGGAGGGAGGAGAGCGCTGAGGATGTGAAACTTGAAAGAGCTGTAGGGAAACACGGTGGACGGATGATGGGAGCATGCAGAGGGGAAACGTCACTGGGACTTTCCTTGAGCCTTTTTTATTTTTTTCCTCTCTCCTCCCTGTTTTTCAGAGTGGGTGGTGGGCAGAGACTCTCTCTGCAAGTCACGCACAGCGGCTCACCACCTCAACTCAGCCACACTGTACGTCTCTCTAAGGAGACCCGGGACTCCTGCAAGAAGGCTGCTCACTCAGTCAGCAAATTCAGTTGAGGAAGAGGAGCGTTTGTTTTTCGTCTCAGAGCTTCAAACTCTTCAAAGGATCCAGTCTTTTTGACAGGTTTCCCCATTGAGACCTCTTTAATTGGATTTAACTCCCAAGTCGAGCCGTGTGCACTTCCTTTACTCTTTGTGGAGCAAGAAACTTTAAGGTCTGCCCTTTTTGCTGGATCTTTGCCGTTGCTTGTGTTCGCCTGAGGCCATCTTATCGTTTTGGAGATGAGATCCAGTTGTATGCAGGTCAAGCCGGTAGCTACACAGCAATGCAGCGTGAGTGTTTGGTGTGCCGTTGGTCTTTGCATGTGTTTTTGGATGTGGGGTGAATAATGCAGTTGCCACCTGAGGGGTTACACTGCATTCACTGGGTGCATTTTAGCAGTAAACATCACTGATCTGAAATGGGAGAGTCTTTTGTTGACTTCAGAAATTATAGAAGAAGCTAGCCAGCAGGACTCACATTTACTCGTACAGCATCCTCAAAAGTTTTTGAAATGGGTTTTGAGTTGGTGGAGGAGAATACCAAGTTTATTCCCACCCTCATGAATAAGATGTCTGACTGAGGTTATTTAATTTATGGGTTCAACTTTGTTCTCATGAACCCTTTATGAAGGGTGGGTAACAAAGTGGGTTACTAATGGTTAGTATATGTTACTAATGCTTTATAGATCAGTTACAGATCAGTTGTGGTTTCCAACTAGTTATAAAGACATTACAAAGTGAGACCAATGAAACTAAGGCCCACAATATCCACCAAAATGTAGCAACGTAGCTCTTGTCGATACATATTTTGCATGTTCATATTCATGTAACTTTTCATAGCTAGCAGTCCTTGAAAGTTAAACATAGTGCTAGCATCCTGCAGCCAGAACGGAGGGTGGTAACAAGTTGAAATATGATTAATAAAAATTGCATGCAATGTAATGTTGTGGATGATTTGAGCCATATTACTAAAGAATACAACAGCCAGATAAAATCTTTCATTTTGTAATCACCAACATTAGCAAAGTGTTTTGACCCCTCTTCTCATCCTGAACCTGTTAAGCCATAAATCCAAACCCACCTCTGGAAAAGTTAAACTGCATTAAAAAGTCTCGGCCGATGACGAACACGAAGCCCACAGATGTATCCTCTGAAGGGTTTCCGCTCAGATGCTCCGACCTCTTCAGCCGTAATTTCCTGTTGCTGTCAAGAGCCTCTTTAATTAGTTCGAACCACCGGAATCATAACACACCTCCACCCCCACACGGTACCCACCTCCTCTCCCATCCCTGCTTTCACTTCTATATTTATCACTCTGCTTTGACAACCAACCAGCTCCAGGGAGTCCCGTGTGTGTTTGTCCAAGCATGCTCCCTCGTGTGTGTGTCTCTTTTTGTTTTGGTGCAAATGTGAGCGCGCTCAGTGAGGATGTGTGAGTGGATGTGTGGAGCTTTTTGGCGTGCATGCATGAAATGAAATATTCAGGTGCCGGGGAGGCACTCTGGTCCTGATGATCTCTCTTTCTTCAGTGCTCTGCGTGTGATGAGTTTCAGTTCCGAGTCAGTTCCCTTATTTAGCTTTTTTAACCAGCAGCAGCTTCACTCAAATGAGTTATTTACAAGTTGGAAAAAAAAGACGCATAAGCACTGAATATTATTGCGTAGAGACACAGATGTAAATAGAAGATAAATTCGCAGTGGGGGGTGCAAAGAGTTGTTGCCCACAGGCTGTAGAGTACTTTCTGCATTATACATCAGCCTCTTTCTTGGTTTTCTTTATTTTCTTATTCTTCTTCCTGTTCAGAGTTACTGCAGGAGGCATCAAAGGCATCAGCTCTTCTTTAACCTCGACTGGATTCGTTTCCAGTTGAATGTTGCAACACAAACAAAGGACATGACCTATGTCCTCTTTGACCACTGCCACGTACAACACACATACAGGCTTTGTGTAGTTTTGTGCTGAAGGCTGTTTGCAGCAAAAAGAGGCACTCAGGCTGCTCAAAGAAATGCAGTGCTCCCCATTGCCTTATGACACGCTGGAAGTGTCCTTTGGTATTTATAAGTTGCTTCTGTAACAGGTCCTGGGCCGGCCTCTAAATGAGTTGCGTGACCTTATCGTCGGCATTGACAGCTGGTGTTAGAAGATGGCAGCATCTTCCTCCTCTAGGCCTTCCCAGGTGACAGGTGTCGCAGATAAAATGCAGAATGTAGTTTTTAGCGGTTTCCTCCCTTTTTGCTCTTTGTCACAGGTCGCATATTTCTTGAGTTGCCAGTAAAGAGACATTCACCTCTTAGATTGTGTCATTTGAATTCTTTTTTAGAGGCTATGAAAATATCTTTTTATTTCTTTGTCTGAAAATAGAACTTTATATTTGAGTGACCTTTGCTAAACCTCCAGTGGCCAAACGTCTACCCTTATTATCTAGCCTTTAAAAAGAACTGTATATTTGTGACCTGTTTCCACATCTTCAGTAGGAGCCGGTGGAGCTTGGAGGTGGAGACAGTTTAAGGCATTGTTGGTTTTCGGTCTTTTCATGCGATTTATCAAAGAAAAATATGAAATAATGCCGGCGTTATCATTTAATCATCTCACAACCCGCTCAGATTCGTTTTGCTATTCCTTGGGGTGCGTCCCAAACCTCATGTTGGGAGCAACTTCATCATTTATCAAGTCTAAATGTTTTAGTGTCGTATAGAGGAATAAAAAAGTAGCTCTGAATGGGAAAAACTCAAATCGATACATAAACCAGACACATTAATGCATTGAATAGGTATTTCAAAGTTGGGTTTTTTTGTTATTACAATATAATCCATAACTTGAATCTGTTTACAGCTCACCCTCCACAAATAAGATACAGAATACAGTGACGCTCCATTGAGCCTTTTCATTGTTTTCATAGCACCACCAAGGGCTGGAAGACATCAACCCCACTGAAGAGGTGACGGACACGGAGGATAACGAAGAGGAGGACCTGGGTGTCCTGGACGACCAGCGGAGCATCATTCTCCACCTGCTCTCCCAGCTCAAACTGGGCATGGACCTCACACGGGTAAGGCACTGAAACTGACTGTTAAAGATAAAAAAAAATAACGTTTGCGATATGTCAAGTAAATGTTTTGTGTGCGTGTGATTTTTAGTTTTCTGAGCCTTTTTCCCTAAAAGCATATCTCATCCCTTCAACTCATTGGGTTTCATAGGTGGTGTTGCCTACCTTCATTTTGGAAAAGCGATCACTACTGGAGATGTACGCCAACTTCATGGCCCACCCTGACATGTTCCTGTCCATCACAGCGGGGGCCACGGCCGAGGACCGGATAGTCCGTTTTGTCGAGTACTACCTGACCGCCTTCCACGAGGGGCGGAAAGGTGCCGTGGCCAAGAAGCCCTACAACCCCGTGCTGGGGGAGACCTTCCACTGTTCCTGGGAAGTGCCTCGGGACAAAGTCAAACCTTTGGTCAGATCCAACCAGGGGTCCTCTTGGGAGCCGAGCAGGGCCCCCAACAACACGCAGCAGGGGGACGATTCGCCAGAAGACTGCTACAGAGTCCGATTTGTGGCCGAGCAGCTGTCCCATCATCCACCAGTGTCTGGGTTCTACTGCGAGTGCCGGGAGAAGAGCATGTGCGTCAACGCCCACGTGTGGACCAAGAGCAAGTTCATGGGAATGTCTATAGGAGTGTCCATGGTGGGAGAAGGTGAGCTTATGATATACATCACACTCTTCCCCCTGTTCACTCACTTTATATGACTAAATGTATTATATGCATCAGTGGATCGCTATCACTGATGCATTTATGTAGAAGTTTGATGTTGTAGCTGGTTGAGATAGTTTTGAATACTTTATATACTGTTTAGAGATTCATTACAGATTAATTTAACAGTAATTGGTAACTAAAACTGTCAGTTAAATGCAGTGTAGTAAAAAGTACAATGTTTGCCACTGAAGGCAGTGGAGTAAGTATAAAGCTAGAAATAATAAATCATTTAAATAAAATGACTGAACAATACTATTTTCCAGGTGCTTTAAATTAGATTTTAATCCACAGAGAATATTATTTTAGTTGCTGCTCGTATTTTTCAGGTTGTTCAGCAAATGACATTGATTTATTCAGTGTTGATGAGGATTTTGCTGGTGACCGCTGTTGCACACCACATTTCATTCTGCCTGGTACATGTTATCATGACTCATGTGTGTATTTATCAAACCTTTATTTACACAGAATAGGTTGGCTGAGCATACACGCTATTTTACAGCAACGTCCTGTTAACAGTTAAATGAAATTACAAAAACAAAGTAACAGGGACTGACGAGCGTATAATTACAACAAAAATTCCACAGTGTGTGAAGTACAGAAAGCAACAGTTGAACACAAAATATATGATGTTCAACTTGATATAAGTCACTTTGCCCTAATTGTTATAACTGTAAAAGCAGTTAATGCCTGAATTGCTGTAAATACTGCACAATTATGCATTAATGATATATAAAAAGCGAAAAAAAGACACTTAACAGATACTTACTGTGATATACTAAATATAATACAAACTACGAAAATGACATTTGAGTTGATTCAACGCATCTTACAGTTGATTAAAACAAGAACGCTGCCCTTTAAACACAGCTCACCTTTTGTAACAAAGATGAGTTCACAAAATGTAAAATAAATTCTGTGAAAACAGCACTTTTTTTAAAAACCAGCACGGTCACAGCGTCGCGTCCTCTCCCGTGGCAATCAATGAGCCGGTCCCCTCTGTCAGCAGCACCGTTACACCACGTACAGCATGAGTCACCCTGAGCAGAGACGCGGGACGTCCTTGAGCCCAATCGACTGAATCTGGATACATGAACCGATTCACTGAGACAACACAGCTTTCTCAGGCTTTGCTGTACCTCTGACCACCTGTCGGCCGGTAATGACGCAGCAGTGCAGAGAACATGGTGACCCTCAACCCAGGAAGTATTGATTGCTGGATATGTTTTTGCAATGGCTGCTTTCCTAAAAGCAGTTGATGTTGTATTTGCTGTATGGAAGATGATTATCTATCGCAGGCTTACTGGACACTTGTATTAGTTATGTGTCTTAAGGTAGAATTACATACCAGTAGAATGACTATTATTGAATACACAAATCGGAGGCCGATAGGGCCAGAATTGTTGCACGGGTGTTACTTTGAAGAAGTGGTTGTTGTTCATTTATTTTATCCAGTCTTTAAAATGGGAGTCAGTACCAATAGTACTGCATGTTTTTATTTCATTTGCAGTACAGTAAGGGTCACACATCGACAGCCTGGGTTAGTTAGTGAGCTTTAGAGGTGCTGGTGTGGGGATTTTGTTCCCTTTGGACAGAGCCAGGCTACCTGTTTCCCTCTGTTTCCAGTCTTTGTGCTAAGCTAGGTTAGCCAGCTGCTAAGTGGTATCTTCATTTATCGTGCACACATGAGTGTCAGTCCTCTCATCTAACTCTTAGCAAGAAAGTGAATAATGTTTTTTTTTTATAGTTTGTACTCCCCATATATTTATTTGACAGTTGGTTAGTTACTTTGATTTCACACATAAAAGGCATGATTAACTTGTGAAATATGCACTTATATAGATTAAAGGCTATGCATAGCCACATAGGTGGTTTTTTTAGTTATTGTGGTTTATCAGACCTACTCCGGTTGTAATAAGAATGCTAAAGGTGTAAAGGTTTAATCATGCAAAATGAGTGAAATAAATACCTGAGGGTGGATCGTGGGTATACAGGAACTAAAACACTCGACTGTTTATAATTTACTATAACAGCTCTATCTTGTCCAGCTACATGAAGATGATTCAGTAAAGTCCTAAATTTGACACAGAGCTCCTGAAGTGTATTTATTTTTAGAAGGTTCTCTATAGTGGAGAAATATCTACCTGAGCAGAGAATGAAGTCACACTCCCTCTGTGTGTTTTAATCCAAGCTTCTCCTTGCTTTAACATTACCTCACTGGCCCCGCATGTTAGTGCATGTGAGCTACTGAACCACGATGGTGCCGTATGGAGTTTAGTCTTGGAGGCATTTTGCAGTGAAACAAAGCTGCACAAGTGGTCTCTTGTAAACATGTGGTCACTGGTCATGATATAAGAACTGAAAGCTATTCATGGACGTGTGAGGTGGTGTTCATGACAAAATCAATCCACTTATAGACTGACTGAATGACGCAGATGATGATGAGCGTTAAGTATAATAGCCACTATTATGAACACAAATTGCCTAAAGGAGATATTAGCTGGTTTATATAATATTCTTCACAGTGCGAGTTATTTTTGCTGACTACTTTGCATTAACGTAATAGAAACCAATTATTGCCTCCAATCAGGTTAAATAATGTCTATTGTTGTTGCCTATACACACAGGACATAAACTCCATCAACCTGTGCTTAACTAATCACACGAGTTAAGATTGCTGCTGTAATGGCCGCAGTGTTGAAAACAATTAAATTCTTGCATAATATTAACTATATATGAGAGCTCCATAAAGTGCCTCGTCATTGCATTTAAGTTAAATGTTTATCTAGAATATGTACACATTTGTACTTGCTGTGTTCTACAAGTGCACAATGAAAGTCATTGACAGGCGCTTAACTAGTTGGAGAAAACCTCGACACATCAGCCCCATACATTGAATTAGCGTTAAATACTCTAACATTTGATTATACATTTAGAGAAAGAGGGAATGTGCAGGGAAATCAGCTGGCTCGACATCATGCATCTGAAGACTGGTTTTAACCCGTCCTACTTCTTCTTTTGTCCTTGCAGGGGTACTCCGTCTCTTAGAGCACGATGAGGAGTACGTCTTTACGTTGCCCTGTGCCTACGCCCGCTCCATCCTCACTGTGCCCTGGGTAGAGCTGGGGGGCAAAGTCTCCATCAACTGTGTCAAGAGCGGCTACTCTGCCACCGTCACCTTTCACACAAAGCCTTTCTATGGAGGGAAGGTACACAGGTGAGTGTTTCCCTGCCTGTTGTACATCAAAAATATACTATATGTGTCATAGTATAGTACGTGGGAAACAGCGTAAAAAAGTCAAAGTACAACATGTCGAAAAATACAAAGTACAGCATGTTAAAAGTCATAGTAAAGTAATTTAAAAAAGACAGTATAGCATGTCGAAATAGGTCATACAAAAGTAATGGTGTATGTCAAAAAAGTAATTTAAACATTAATGTATAATATGAAAAAAAACATAGTATAGTGTTTTGAACATCAGAGTATATCGAAGAAAGTCATATGATTCAAGGATCATTTGTCATTATGCAACAAAACAAAAACAGTGCATTCCTGTGGTGCATCTTTTTAATTTGGAGGAATATAAATGGCAGCAACAACAGTTCTCTGCCAGATAATATGGCAGACAACATTAAAAACGTGACATCAGGAAAACATTGCTCATCAACTTTGACTAAGTTTCAGCACACAGCATCACAGATTTAAACTCTGCCCGTCAAGTGCAGCTTGATCCGGGATAGATGGCGCCAGGTCTCTGTAAAGATGTGGGCTCAACAGTCACCGACCTCCCTTTGCTGCGTTCGCCTGAAGTCTCATTTTCTTGCGACCGAACACCAGACAGCCGGGAGCAGGCTGGGTATTGGAGTAGCCTTAGGCCCTCGCTCGGTAAGCTTAGCTTCCATCTCGCCATGTTCTCTCTGGGGAAGAGTGGTCGGCCGTGGGCGACGGTCATCTCCAGGTCCACTGCACTTAAGTCCCAACACTTTCGCCGATGCTGATGAATGTATTCTCTTATATGCCATGAGTGCTGCTGTATAAACACAAAAAAGTCATAGCATAAAATGTCATCGTATAATATGTTGAATTAGTCAGAAAAAAGTCATAGGAAATCATAGTATAGTACGTTTGTCATAGTACACGCATGTCGAAAAACGTTTAAAAAACATTTGTTAAATATGACAATCTTTTTCAAAAAGTCAACAAATAGTATGTTTACGTCGAAAAGTAAAAGAAAAAAAGTCAAAGTTATAGAAAAGATTAAATATATGCCATGCAAGCGTCATTGATTGTCATAAATATGTCTTAGTATAGTGCTGTATGTCATAGAAATGTAACGATCTCTCCGTTTGCCTTCCTCAGAGTGACGGCAGAGGTCAAACACAATCCGACCAACACCATTGTGTGCAAAGCTCAGGGCGAGTGGAACGGCACCCTGGAGTTCACGTACAGCAGCGGGGAAACCAAAGTCATCGACACGGCCAAACTCCCAATCACCAGGAAGAAGCTGCGGCCTGTGGAGAAACAGGGGAGGACAGAGTCCAGGTGAACATGAATTACCACCGACCTAATGTCATGTTCTTAATATGTGGAGTATTGCTAGATGTGTGAGACATCATCTGCTTGTCAATGTAAACGGTGTGATCGCAGGCGGTTATGGCAACACGTCACCAAGTCGCTGAAGGAAGGGAACATCGACGAGGCCACGGAGCACAAACACCGACTGGAGGAGCGACAGAGAGGGGAGGAGAGGCAGAGAGCAGCTGATAACGAACCCTGGACCCCCAAATACTTCACTAAGGAGGTACAGAGAAGGGAGATGAACTTCTCAGAGCAACCCTGTAGCAGGGTGGTATGGTGGTTCAGAAGCAGTTAGCCAGGCTGTGTCCAAAATCACCTCCCATTTACTATATGCTGCACTGTATTTAACATTATCGCAGTTAGACTCTGCTAGCGTTAGCCTTTCGCTTAATATTCTTACGAATTACACCCAATTAACGATGAAACATGTTTTGGTAGCAGTCAGAATTGACACCAAGTAACATTAAGAAATTGTAAATTAATGGTTTAAAATACGTTGCATGAATCATTTTTTTATGTATACAGGCAGCAGTTACAAGTTTTCATTTTACGGGTTCTAAAAAATAACTTTATACACTAACATAACGTTATCTTGTTTCACAATTAATCGTGTGTATTTCATCAGATTATTTGAATTAGCAGGCTAATAAGTAAAATGCGAACACTAGGTCAACTTCATCCGTGTGCATCACCGTTTGGATTCCCCATGAACCAGTTTCTGTTGTGATTTCTATATTTTTATTTTCTTGTGTCCATATTTTAGTGATGAATGCTCACGACAGAGCATCTCTGAGGGAGTAGTGGTTAAGGAAACAGCCATCACCTAAAAATCTGTCGTCATTCTCAAAGGCACCCTGACATAAAACATAAATGTCTTTCCCCCTTCGTCTTTCCACACGTGCAGGGAGACAGTTGGATCTACAACAGCCCGCTGTGGAAGTCGACCTGACAGCAGAACGCTCTTCTGATGGACAATAACAGAGATCCCCCCTCTCCACACGGAGGTCAGAGGTCAGGCAGTCCTCCGGAGACCTTCAGCTACAGACTCACAACAGAGACAATATGGAGACGCAAACAGGAAACGAGCAAGGTGCCAAAGCAATCTCCACTGTTATAACCAAGCTGGCGGTTGGAGCTCTGGGCACAGAAGTACATTTTTATATACAGTTAATAGTATTACTATTCAAAGTAGAGTATTTCTATTTTTAACCTTGCCAAGGCCTTTTTTGCACACGCACAGTAATGAAGTTTGCCACTGGTGTTTTACTTTGTTATTTTTTAATAATCAATGTTTTCTCAGACATCGTCAATGTTTGGTTTCAAGCTTTTAGTTTGTAATGCAGCGTTAGAATGAATCGATACACCTTCGTGAGGAGAGTATAAAGCATAGAAATAAATTCATTAATTTACAGTTATGGGGTCTGTAAGAGCTTTACAGGAAATAACACTACATTAGATTGTGTTCATATATTACTATTAATCAGTACATTAGAGTGATTTACTAGAAAGTAAAGGTCCTGATTGTTTTGTGTCACTATGAATGTACATTTTAATGGTATGATACTTTTCCATCTTGTACTGCAACGCGTGCTTTTTATTTTGCCACGTTGCTCCATTTAAAGTATTGCACCCATTGAGTGAGACGCCTCTGCACTTCAAACGCTTTCCATTACTACCTCTCTTATTCAGCTACTCCAGCCAATTAGTCTCTTCTTTTTGTCCGAAAACACTGGTTTGCAAAATGCTCCAAGGTCCTCTTTTCTTTTTTTTGTATCCCTGCCTCTACGATGGCACTCGCGCAATTAGTCAGCCCCGTGCCTCCCGAAGTTAATGCTTCACCTTTGGTCGCCCGTGATGATGAATATGGATAAGGAGGCTCTCAGAAACACAATCACGTTCCCCATCTGGAGTTCGCTGGAAGGTTCCCTCTGTGAAGATGAGCGGATAATCTAGCAGAATAACAAACACTGGGAGCCTGTCGGATAGAAAAGGATTATGCATTTGGGTCATATTACTGCGGCGCTTCGATCTTCTCATGTTTGACAAACCACGTGGTCAATTTTCAAACCGAATCGCTTTCTCCAAATGAAGTAAAGCAGATATGAATAAGGAGCAATGAGCAGTATGTCCACTTGTTCTTCTCCCACACTTCTTTAAGGCCTTATTTTTTTCACATAAACATCTCACTGCTTGCTTTTAGTTCAATTTTCAATTGTATAAGTATTTAAAAGCCAGGTGAATTTACCAGATGCCTATTTGTAGCGTATGTCATGACAGTATAGAGAACAAACCATTTAGAAATACTGTTTCATGACACTCTCCTAACATGAAACTAACCTTTTTTTTAAATGATATCCAAAAGAACTCACTGAAGTAGAGTGATTGTGGATGAAGGCGGGATTGTCCATTAAAAGACCTTCAATGTTTTTTTTAAATGAAACATGTCTTCTCATGATGTCCTGAATGTACATCTGTTATAACGTTGGTCAAAGCAGGAAGTTGTTTGAGATTATTTTGTTCTAATAAATATGCTAAAGATTGCATTATAACTTTAACATTAGAATGAAAAGCAAACAAGCTAGATGTTTGCTTTTTGTCTAAACATTACATAGGATGTACTGGCATGTTGCCATGATATCAGCAGACAAACATGGGAACATGCTAGCTAAAAAAAACAGATCGTGAATATCTGACATTAATATGCTAAATGTGATGTGATAAAAGTTATTGCATATTTACTCACCAACTTGAGTGCGTCATCATGGACATCAAAAACAGCAGAGTTTGTGTTGACTAGTTAACCATCTATCTGTAGGTGAGCTAAAATGAGCACACGAGCAGGAACGGCTGAGCCTACACAGCTCAATGAGCAGCAGGACCAGCTCAGGCTGAGCAAAGTTCAGCCAATCTGACAGAAAAGAGTTCGAGTTAGCTGCCACGAGGACAAACTTCATGATTTTAAGTAACGATAATTGCCTATTAAGGATGCAACAATACTTTGTGTTGTCGGTGAAATGAGCGTAACATCACCATGTGGTACTCGTGTGGTTAAAGACCGTTGATAGTTAACCTTTGGACGATGCATTTTCCCCCCAAATTAATCATTTTACCATTAACACATTCAACTCTGTTAAACCTTGCTATGGGGAGCTTTACTTTATCCAATTAAGAGTTACACACATACTCGGGGAGTCCACCTTGTGTCAATCAAACCCGTCACCAACTATCCTCACCGGTGTGAGTATCTCTCTCTCTCTCACACACACGCGCGCACACACACACACACACACACACACGCTAATGCTGCCATCAAGTGGTTGCTTTGTGTTGAAACACAGATCTGCACAGGAACAATATCAACACACTGAATGTACTGGACATTGAATCAGGTTTGGTTCAAAATGACAACAACTTACACACATTCTCATTAAAGTGTATATTTAAAGATGGCTGAACAGAACAACGTAGAAATGTAAACTTTGAAGGTGAAGGAGGGATTTCATCAAAACAAAAGGTGTTAAGGACAGACAGCACTGAGCTACTAAGAAATAATTCGACTTAGTAGAGGAAGGAACCGTTCTGCCGCTCCTAATCGACACAAAATGAAAACGTAAGAGGGCAACAAACTGTACATCACATTAAGGCTCGGTCTGAACCCTCTCCTCTCTTGACTGATGAGAAATCAGGACGTGATTCAGCTCTAGGCGCAGGTGTGACTGAATGACAATGCGGCATTGTGTCAAAGGTCTGAAGTCTGAAATGGTGATAGTCAAGTTTCAGAGAAGATCAAAAAAAAAAAAAAGTGATTCAGACAATACTTTTTAAAAAGTGTAAAGAAAAACAAACCGGGTGATACAAATACAAGTCACTCTTCTGTGAGGTGTGATAGTACAGCTGTGCGACGCGTTAGTCTTTCTATGAGTCACTCGTTTGAGAAAAAGTAAAATGGAAAAAGTTACTGAAGCGTGCACATACAGAAACACCTTTAGTGTTTAGAACATCTGGAGAACCCAGACAGACGAACAGTGCAGTGCCCATCGAACAAAAGGTCAAAGGTTACGGCTCATCAGAGCTGTGTCCCAACTGCATACTATACAACCTGACACAATCAGATTAATTGATAAGTTAATCTTTTTTTTTTTATACCATTAATCAATCTTTCAATGTTAACAGTTGATTGGGGTTTTTTCAAGGCAGAAATACCAAAAATTCACTACTTGCATCTTTGCAAATGTGAATATTTGCTATGCTCCATCTTCTATACAAACTATCACTTTGTGTCCACTGGGAAGTTTTCAGATTTTTTTTTTTTCTTCCTCTTTATATTTTACGAACCAAATAAAGAATAACGTAAAGAAACAACCAATAAATCAATGACAAAAATGATGGTTCGCAATACTACTACTACTGTGCATACGAATATTATCAAGAATACACTACATATAGAGTATTCTTTTTTTACAGTAGTTTTTTCTTCCATGGAGGAGATACAAGGAGCACGAGATACATCACGTCTAGTAAAGTTACTAGAGCTGAACTTATTAGTCGATGGACAGAAAATTAAAGGTCCACTCCACCAATTTAAAATCACGTTAGAGAATAGCGGTTAAGTCTAAAGTGTGACATATTACATAATCAATACCTTTTAAGACTTAATCTTAAATGCAGTATGGAATCAGGACACAGCTCTAAAGTACAATAAAGACGTCGGTCCACCGTTGTCTCGGACAAGGATGGAAGTTTCTACCTTTCCTCACCTCAGTTGTGTTTTCTAGTCTCAGTTTCAGTGCTTGAGTACCAACTACCCCCCCCCTTCACAGTTCACCAGTCTATTCCCAGTTCCCGATTGCCTCAGTCTGGTCGAAGCACCCGACCCGCTGCGTTGATACACGATGAGCTGAACACAAAGCTGATAGAGCAGACGGTCACAAAGTATCGAGGCGATGGTGACCAGCGATGAGGCACGAAGCTCTGCACACTGCACTAGAGAGCTCCCTCTGCAGGAAGGGAGGCCTAATTCATGATCACTGCTTTCTACACACCATTGCTTGCTTCTGTCTTTAAATCCCTAAGCAGCAGAAATGTACAATCTATGCCATTTATGAAAAAAGGGGGTGTTGGTATGGGGGGGGGGCTTTGTAAAAATTCACATTCATTCTTCCAACGAAATGTCAAGCCCCTCTGTACAAGAATTATTGCATTCACTGATCTATTCGCTGTCATACAAACAAAACAAAAAAATCAACAAAACAATCACAAAGAAAGTAAGATAACTGACAACTGCATATTTAAAAATCACCACAATAATCCAATATATTATCATCCGTTTAGACTTATTCTTTACACAAGATATTTACATGTTAGGCCAATTTTTTTTTTTCTCTAAAGAATTTGTTGAAAAAGAAGGTCGGGGAGCAAGGCAGACACAAAGGAGAGGACGATGATAAAAAGGTTCATTCTACAGACGGGCTGTGCCTAGACGGTGACGTTCCTCCATGCCGCATACCGTCCTCTGTATACGCGTCAGGAACAAGTCCTCAGCTTTCACTCCCTCACTCTCAGTAATGAGTTCACATGTGCCGTGGAGCAAGGTCGATGGGTCTTTGGTGCAAATGTCCCTAGTCTCTCTCCTCCCCCCCACCCCCCCCACCCCCCAATTCCCCGCACTGATAAGCAGTTAATTAAACGTACCACAAAATGTTAATCGACGCCGAACCAAGCAGAGCAGCCCTATGCCTCGCCACACATTCAAGTACAAAGTAAAAAACAGACAAACTAGAAAACAAAAAAAAACACGGGAGAAATTAAGCAAGACAAAAGGTCCTCGGGATTAAAACGGTTCTGCAGCTAGCCAGATATGACACTTCCTCGACACAGGGGGGCGCTCTAATGAGACGCGCTTGAGACCGAGTGCCAGATAAACGGCCCCTGTGTTCTTCTTCATTGGTTGTTAAGAGGTTTCTTCGCAGTTGTTTTGCTAGAAGAGTTCATCGTCGCCGTTATTTCTTTTGGAGTTTCTTGCCTTTCCTCAGGACCAGCTTGTTCTTGATGTGTCCTCGCTTCCTCTTGGCGGTCTGGTTAAAGCGGCAGAAGAAGAAAAAATGGATTCTCTAAAATGATTTTTCATCTTGGATTCAAACAACTTGCATATCACTTCTGGCAACGAGTAGAATCTACTCATATGATCGAATGACTATGACTGAATATGTTGATTATGAGAGCCTCTCAGCTTCAATATACATGTATAAAAATCAGTACATACTGACTATACTGGAGCATATGCTCTGGTTTATTAGCAATGGAGAGTCGTTTATCATCACAGAGTCATTTGAGTGAGTAAATTATTCGTACAGTCACTTTGCTACGCTGGTTACAGCCCATGTCGTTTATTATAACGTACAAGTTTTTTGTCTGTTTATAGAAAACACAGTAATTTTGTCTTTGAGACCAAAATAAACAGAATAAAATCTGGTAAAACCCTGTACTACGAGGCATCGTCACACTTTTAAAAAAAAAGAAATA